GGGCACAGACCTGAGTTTGAACTCCACTGAGAGCAGATGACTGAAGTACTACAGTTCTGAACTACAGATAATGATACTGCAAAATGATATTGCAAGGCCATTGCGCTTTTCACAAGGAAGGAAAAATTTGTGCCGCGCCCCTCAAGTTCAATTAATTTGCGCCTCGCCCCTCTGAAGGCCGACTTACCCTGTCCTGCCCCTTGGCCTCTGTGCTTTTCTGCAGGGCCAAGTCAGCAGGGGGCACAACTTTCCCTGATGCCCTTACTGGATGGCTGGTCTCATTTCACCGGTCCCTTCGTGATATGCTCTCATGAAGGGCATGCATCTTTCACTCATGCCCTCATAGTAACACACAAGAAATTTGGATTTGAAGTACGTGGCTTTTGACACGCCACTGCGACAATGTTGCTGCAGTCTCCATTGCATCACTCTCACTACTGCAACACACCACCTTGGAGTTCGCCGCCTTGGAGTTTGGGCCTCGTTAGACCCTCCTTGGAAAATCCTCAGGAATTAGGATGAGGTCCTTGGAAAATTTTCCGGTTTTCAGCATCATCGTTACACCGCGTCCTAATTCAATGGGTCCCAAGGAAAACCCTTGGAGGTCTCCCGCGGCCAATTTCAGACGCACATACGCCGCCGCGGGGCTGGATGTCCGTCCGTGCGGTGGGATGTCCGTGTGTCCTCGGGCGTGGTCCGCTGGCGGTGGCAGGGAGGCCTTCTGGGCTGGGGGGAAAAAAAGGCGCGAACATCCCTGTTCGAATTTCGAATTTCGAACCCTTCGCTGAAACGCATCCACGCCCGGGGTGTCCAGACCGGTGCAGCGCACACCGGAGCAAAACGTCTGCGGAGGAGTGCTGGCGGCCATCGCTTGATACACCGGCATTGGAAGGCGGGCCAACGCAGCGCAGACGCTGACGGTCTCGGAGTGCGACAACGGTCAGAAGTTACACATTCGTATTCGGGCCGTCCGCGACAATCGTGCGGGCCGCCATAGCATATGCGCGCACGTCAGGCCTCCGTGAGACATGGGTAGTGCTGCTGCCGTTCCCGTCCACATGGAGACATCGGAGCGAGGGTGCCGGTGACCGAAACAGCTGTGGGCAGTTTCGCATTGCGCGAGCTGCGGGGCGGTGCAAATATGATGACGGCTTTGGAGAGACATGCGGTGGTCGCAGCTATGTCGGCAGTCGCCATGCGATATTGCATACAGAGAACGACAGCTCGCCTGAAGATGAGGTTGTCCATTCGCAGGCAGCGTCAGCTCATGCAACAAGTGCTGGAGGCGCCCGATTGTGTGTCATTATCAGAATCCATTGTGCAATTTTGCTGCGCCACGGCGTCCGGTGTGATCCCGAGGGCGACTCCAAGGTGGTGGATGAGGAGAAGGACGGGAGGGACATGGGAGGATCTTCGTAAGATGGACGACGCGGCGGACGGGTACTATAAGGAGAAGTTGAGGATGTCCCCTAGGGTGTTCCGGGAGATCGTGGAGGCATTGTCCCCTCATCTGCAACGGAGGGTGACATTTTACAGGGTGCCTTTGATGCCGGATCACATCATCGTGTACGCACTTTATCGTAAGGCGAGCGGGGAGACATACGAGAGCAGCACATCATCATTCGGCATAGGACGCGCATCAGGCTTGATTGCGGTGGAGGACGTGACTCGGACGCTTCTGAGGGTGTACCGGGAGAAGATCGTTTGGCCTTCCGGGTTGCGGCGGGTGATCGTTCTGCGCGCCTTTGAGGCGAAGGGTTTCCCCAACTGCTATGGCTGCATAGACTGCATGCACATATATGTCGACAAACCGGCGAACACACCTTCCCAGAAGAACTTCGACCGGAAGCATCGTTTTTCGGTTGTTGCGTAGGTGGTGGTGGACTTGGAATTGAGTGTCACAAGCGTTTTCGTCGGGTATCCCGGGAGTTGCCACGACATTCGAGTGCTTCAACTTCCCAGTTTGTGGGCGTGTGCACAGGAGGGGGATCTTTTTCGTGGACCTGTCGTGGTGCTGTCGTTCGGGTTGAAGACACACGGGTACATCTTCGAGGATAACGGCTATCCTCCTATGGAGTGGATCGTCGTGACTTAGGGAGGGACCGATCAATGCGCCGACGAGGAGAGGTTCGACAACAAGCAGAAAGTCGCCAAAGGAGCAGTGGAGAGAGCTTTCAGAAGATTGAAGGGGATGTGGAGGTTCTTCCTCCATACACACAAAACAAATATGGACACTCTCCCGCAACAGTTCAAGCAGTGTGCATTCTGCACAACATCCTCCTCGATGTTGGCATAGACTTCGACGAGAACTTGTTGTGGGAGGTGGACGCGAATGGTGTGCGGCGGCGAATGGATTTGGGCTTGGATCATCCTCCCCACCCCACTGCGGAGAACTTCAATCGTCCCCGTGCGCTGGCCCTGCACGAAGTGCTGGTGGAGCATATGAAGCACGAGTGAACGCGCGAACTCTCCCCACGACAGTAGCTTGTGCATCGATCTCTTACGGAGGGCGAACGTGGTGATGTCCGGGATTCGAGGAGTGTTGTAGTGCTCTGGCGGCAGTGTCGTGCAGTGCGATTGTTGGTCAGCTCCCTGCATTTGTTTTCTTATTTTTTTCAATATAGTTTTGTTTTCTTATCCCCTTTTCTTGACGTTAGTTTTCGTCTGTTCTCGAACATTGGAAGAGCGAGGGAGCGGTGCTCCATCACGTTTTTTGTGTGGACGGTGGTATTGCCTTTGTTATGTGATTTGTATATGCCTGTCTCCTTGCATGTCCTTTTGTCGCACCTTCAACGATTTCTCTGCGTGTGGACAGGTTACGGTTCGAAGCTGTGTCCTGGGAATTTTTTGGTTCAATGTCATCTGTATGCGTTGGTTTATTTTCCAAGCATACACACATCGAATGCTTGAATTGCTCATGATTTTTGTCATTCTTGTTTGAAATGCGCATTTCGTTTCTCAGTCGGTCGCAATTCTGCAGCGCAGCAAACCTCGTGATGGATATATGTTTTGATGAGCACACCAAAACTACATTTCTTCGACCAGACAATCAATCAATCAATCGATCAGTCAATCAATCAATCAATCAATCAATCAATCGATCGATCGATCGATCAATCAATCAATCAATCAATCAATTAATCAATCAATCAATCAAACAATCGATCGATCGACCAATCAATCGAGCGATCAATCAATCAATCAATGAATCAGTGCATCGATAAACCGATCAACCTATCAATAGAGCAGTCGATCGACCGAACAGTTGATGAGACAGTCAATCAAGCTTGCGACGGAACCTTTTTTGCCGAGAGAGAGAAGAATTGCGATTAAAGGAAAACAAAACAACAACAACAAGAACAACAACAACAACAGAAACAACAAAAATCTCAAAATCTCGCAGGTCGTTTGCATTGTTTGCGAGAAAACACTCTGAACCGCACACACACAATCGCACACGTGGACTCTGCTGATGTTGTTCAGGTATTTGTCAAAAGGTGTCATTGATTTCATGGCCTTTATTCACAACTGCATATGCTGGGCAAAGACATGAGGAATTGACGAAGTTTTTGACCACCTCCGTGGTAGGCTGTGACATTAATGGGTCACCGTGGGCGGCATGTCATTATACACAACTACAAAAACAAAAACAAAACGGCGCTTCATCCACGCAAGCACACTGACGACCGGCCAAACCACCATATCCCCCGTCTACCTAAGAGACCGAACCAAGCGGACTAACGTGAAAGCGCCCCATGATAACCACCTCATACCTACCCCCCCCCCCCCTTGCAGTCACGATCTACGACGACGAGCGTGCCGCCGAAGACTCCGGATTTTTTCAGTCCATGGCCAACGATGGCACGATGCGCAAGATTGGCACCTCCACCACTTTCACGACCCTTCTTCGTCGTCACCTCCGTCCTCCTTCCGGTCGCCATCGAAGGGTCCAGTCCCCATCCAATCCATCCTCGCCGCGACGTCGGGGTCCGCCAAACCAATGTGGTAGTTGAACCGCACTCCACATGGACTTGAAGCCCACTCCGGGATGTAGTTGGGATACTCATTCATCGTCTAGGGCGGCTTCCTGGGACGAGTCAAAACTGCATTCGCGGACTGGAGTATATGTCAGCGCTAGCTGAACGAATGCGACCCTGCCACGATGAGCGTAGGCTTCGCCACGAGCTGCGAGAAGTACGAGGCCTTCTCGTGGGAGCGCAAATTGTCGCCTCCCATGCGCATGATCCGCATGCACGTGGCAAGAAGCAGGTGGAAGGCATCCCCGAATTTGCTCAACCTTGACTGGAACATCTTTCCGTTGTCGGACCATTGGTCGCCTCGGAGCACATCGTGAAAGCAGGACGCCAAATGCTAACGATCGATTTCGCCCGTCCCACAACCGAAGGCGAAGTGAGTCTGCCACGTGTCGTGGAAGATGGCGAACGAACTGATCGTGAAGCATCTGTGTACTACGCCACCGACGGATGCGCCCGTGAGGATAGCGTAGGTGTATAGCGATAGCGAGAACGATGAACTCCTGGCGCCGTGGAAGACAGTCGTCAGGCGAAACAAGGAGTTGACGCCTACGAAGCGTGGCACATGCGCAGCAACAGACCTGCACTGACCCTTATACTGCTTGGACAGACCTTCCCCTGCCCCGGCGCGCTCCCGGCGTGACGGCTTCAACTTCCTGCTTCCGAAAAATAAAAATAAAATAAAAATAAAATAATATATATGTATATATATATATATATATATATATATATATATATATATATATATATATATATATATTGTTTGACTACGTGAACGACCCAACCCTCGATTATGCCATGAACCATGCCCCTTGAAGGAAGACATGCGGACTCAACTCTATCACTGCGGCCCCTTGAGGGTTGCAACGTCAACGCATGCATCGACATGATGACTGACCGCAGAGCTGAGGCAGCATCAGGACCTGTCCCTGATGGCTTTCGCGATCTCCATCAACGCATTGCATATCATCCTATTTGCCTTGTCGGATGCCTCGTAGTGCCGCTTTTGGGCGTCAACCTCGTGCTCGAGTAAGTCGCACTACCGCTCCAGGATGGAACACTGTCGCTTGCTTGCCCCCTCCACAGTGTCCACCATCAATGCACCGTGCTTCTCCATGACTTCGGCAATGGCATCCGAGTCGAACGTCTTCTGGCGCATGTTCTTCCTCTTGGCAGCGCCGCCCGTGCTGCCTACGCTGAACCCGGAATCCCGCGTCGACCCTCCATCTTCATCGTTGTCATCACCCGCGTCTCCCCCGACGACGAATTCTCCCGCAATCGATGGCGAACGTTGCGTGTCCCCCAGCATTTGCACTTCTCCACGGGCGCTCATGTCAGCGAGGTTGTCTGGGTAGATGTTTTTATTGCCTCGACACATGTTGTCGATCTTAAGGTACACTCGCTCATCCATTCGGAAGTTGAAGCCCTCTTCCGTTCTCAACGCAGGTGTTAAGTTGAAGAAGTTCTTCCCCCTGGAGGCATTCTCGTATTGTTGCACCTTCTTATACTGCTGGAAGAGGTTATCCCCCTTCTCCCCGATGTCATCGGTCGTCCTCTTCACGCCCACCTCCACCAAACGCTTCTGCAGGTCCGGTAACTTCCATTCCCTGTTGTGCATGCGGCCGTAGTTGTGCGGCATTCCATCGAAATGAGCTTATTGATCCCGCTTCGTCCGAGCGAGCTTCAACATCTCCTCACCACTCCAAGTCGGATGTTTGCCACCCTTGTTGCCTGCAGGTGCCTTCGATATTCGACCACCACGAGATCCCCGATTCTCTTGACGCCCGCATCCACCCCTCCCTCTACCACGCACACCCAAGGGTCGAATCTCCAACTCTTCCGCATCGTCCGCTTCGTCCTCGCAATGAAAATCCGAAGATTCGTCACCAGTCGCCTTCCGGGTGTCATCCGCATCCGCATCGCTTCCAACACGCATCCTCAACACCCCGTTCGTTGTGTTCTCAGCGGTCGGTCTGTTCATCTGTTGGCGACAGGACTCCCACACTGCCAATTTCTTCCGGCGGGGTAGTGGTCGTGTTCACCGCCTGTGCGCTCGCCTTCCAACGTGGTGGGGGTGAAGGTGTTGCCGAGTGGGGGGGTAACACTGCCATCGCGTTGTCGCCAGATGTTCCTGCGCCTCGAGAGAAGGAGGGCGCCGGACGACACCCATGTGCGCTGCCATCCACCGGACACGACCTTCCGCCATGCCCCGCCACTCCCGCCCCATGCAGAGACGTTTGTTCGACGGTCGTGGCGACGAAGTGGCTTGATGCACAATTGTTCCTAAACGGTGCAGCAGTCCTACTTGACAAGCCAAAATCCAAGTCCACAGGCTCTGTGTCGCCTCCGTCGATACCCTCCTCCAACATTGCCGATAACGAGTGACGACTTCTCTTTGCCTCCCTTTGTCGGCAATGGCTGCTCATCCAGTCCTACGTAGATCCGCTCCCCAGTGACAATTTGTGGGACAGATTCTCCAGCCACTCCTCTTCCGGACCCGACAGTAACGGCTGCTCATGCGGTGGCAGATGACTGTACAACGTGGGGTCATACGTGGGTGCACGACGCGCTGCTAGTGCCGGGTTTGGAGTGGAGAAGTCGATCGCACGTCCGTGCAGTCTGCTGGAGGTTTCCCGCTTTTCCATCGTCGCCTTCCTCGTCGTGCGCCGTTTTCGTCTGCTCCCCGGACCGCACACGACGACATACACGCGCAACAAGACCACAAGGAGCAGGAGAAGAGTGGCCAGCATCAGGAGCGGAACCCGCCGGAGCGCGTCTGCCATGAATCGCAGCAGGCGAGGAGTGCATCGACCAAAGCTTGCTCCCGTGCGCCTGTCAATTCCCGACAATGGGCGCTGCTAAGGAGAACTGCAGTCGGCCAGCACTGCTCATACATTGGCGGTAAAAAAAACGAAAAAGTCGACAGTTGGACACCACGCCTGACGACGTGCACAAGGAGAAGCCCGCCACATGAACCGCCTCGGAGCTGAAGAACCACCCCCACGCCTTTACGTGCCAACGGTAACGACACAACGCCGTTGGAGGCTCTTCCGCTACTGGAGGCCGGCGGTGTCCGCCCGTCTGGACCACGGACGACGTGTGCACCACGAAAAAATCCAAATGTTGGTGTCGACGCATGCTCCACGACGATCTGTCAATCGCGGCTCCTTGAGCCCAAGGGACTTCGTGAGGACCCCTTGAATCCAAGGACGTTTTGGCTGGGGTGTGTGTGTGTGTGTGTGTGCTGTCTCTTATACACATCTAGATGTGTATAAGAGACAGGAGTCTTGCGTGGGGAGCTGTGCGTTGTGCCATCTTGCTCCCCCTTCTTCCTCCATCTCCATCTCTGTCACTAGCGGAGCACCACACCTGGTGGGCCCGCTACACCAGGCGGACTNGAGAGAGAGAGAGAGAGAGAGAGAGAGAGAGAGAGAGAGAGAGAGAGAGAGAGAGAGAGAGAGAGAGAGAGAGAGAGAGAGAGAGAGAACCACAAAGTGCAGGGAATGGACGCGAGTGCCTCCAGCGGCCCAGGGGAATGGCCGGTAGTGCCTGAAACGGCCACAGGGGTGTGGGAGGGGAACACCATTGATGCCCTCTATCTCCCTTCCCAGGCTCAGGGGAATGGCCGTGAGTGCCTTCAACGGCCACAGGGGTGTGGGCATAGAGAACATTTTCGTGCTGGTACTGAACGGCTAGGGGCATACTAAAAACTTGGAACAGCTTGAGGGTGTATCGAGCATATTTCAGGCCCCGCTGACGCCAGGGGTGTTCCACAACTTGAATCGTCGTCAGAGGGGTGTCACAGGGTAAGTAGGCCATCAGAGGGGTGCGATGCAAATAAATCGAACTTTGGGGGGCCGGATGCAAATTCCCCCACAAGAAAATAAGGGGACAAAAAAAAAAAACGAAGTATGGCATACCCATGCTTGTTGGGTCCTGTTTGGGCTGGAAGGGGCGGTGGTAGCTGGAATAACGAGAATATTCGCTTGGGGACTGTCCAAGGGAGGAGACAAAGAAGGGCCTCGCCCCACGCAATTCACCAGCAAATGGGTGTTCTGCGTCTTCCGCTAGAAGGCGGTAAGATGCACGCGCCGTAGTTTGTCTTTGTCACATTTGCCCAGTGGTGCGGCGAGGCCAAAGCAGGGGGAAAAACGAAAGAAAAAGAACAAAGCGAAAGGAGAAGGAGAAAGAAGCGCCAGAGAGAGGAAAAACGAGATAGCACAGGAAGAAGGATGTCAGGAGAGGAGAAGAGGAACTTCCGGGTTGCAGCCCGTTCCTTAGCAGCTGACAAGGGCGATTTACGTGAGAGAGAGAGAGAGAGAGAGAGAGAGAGAGAGAGAGAGAGAGAGAGAGACTTCGGGGTTGCAGTCCGTTCCTTAGCAGTTGACAAAAGCAATTAACACGAGAGAGAGAGAGAGAGAGAGAGAGACTGGATCCGCCGACCTACACCACTGTACTCCTAGTCGTCAGCCGTGCCGTCTGCTCCTCGTCGTCCACGGCGCCAAACTCTTGGTCAGCCATCGTCCTTCCTCCTTTTCTTCTTCTTCTTCTTCTTCTTCTTCTTCTTCTTCTTCTTCTTCTTCTTCTTCATTCTTCCTCTTCTTGTTTCGTCTTTTTCTTCTTGCTTTAGTTTGGGCGTTTCGTTTGAGATCAGTACATGCGGGATGGTAAGGACTGTTGACTAGTCCATGCACGAGCAGCAGTAAATGGCCACTGTTTTTCACTATCCTTCTTCTTCTTCTTCTTCTTCTTCATCATCTTAATTTCCAGTCTGCCTCCCTTTTTTGGTTTTTCAAGGGACAAGCATTCTCTTACAGGCCAGGAATCAAGCCCGACGTCGACCTTGCATGTACAAAACGTGGCCCAGGGGCGGGTCCGACCACGCTCATTGGCTGTGTGATATCGGATCATCATGGATCATGCATGGATCATGCACGGGTCTACGGACGGCTGCGATTCGGTCGAGCCTCCGTCCTTCTCCATGTGTAGGTTCTGCTTCTTCTCCTCCTCTTCCTCCTCCTCCTCCTCCTCCTCCTCCTCCTTCGTCTTCTCCGTGTGCGCGTTCTCACTTGGGCGAACAAGACGTGTGGCTGTCTTTTAATTTGTGACAAGACACGTGCTCGAAACCAGATTGGTCATTGCTTGTCACTGCGACTTTTTCTTGCTTCCTCCTCCTCCTCCTCCTCCTCCTCCTCCTGCTGCTGGTGGTGGTGGTGGTGGTTCTTCGTGGGAACTGAGAGAATAGATACTCATGTGGCTATGGTGCTTCTCGATGCAGTTTGTCTTCTTCTCTTTCCTTGTCCTTCTTCTTCCTTCTTTCTTT